ACGCACCCTCCCCCTAAAAAAAATGCATATTTGCATGTCATTTTCATGAATATCTTCTTTTTATGCACACTTACTTTAATTTTATTTCATAAAATCCAATACATTCCTTGATTGTAAAAGCATGAGCAACCTGCAAAGTGATTTACAAACATCACCTGATATATGCATTTTTGTAAAACGTGGTTCTCTTAGTTAGAGAACCGCAGTGCAAAATTTGGATCAGCGTGAATTTTGTCTTTCAGCTCACATATTATTTTTTAAAATGTGGTTTTTGACAGATTTGGCTTCAAATGTTCCCTGAACTGAATTTCTCCTCCATCTCCAGTCAAGAGGTCTACACACTTGGGCATACCTCTCCACCCAGGCAAACAAGAGTATTTCCCACAATTCAAGGGGCATCTCAGCCAGGCGAAAGCACTGGAGGATGGTGCAGAGGAAGGCCAATGAAGGGCATGGCCTGGGAAGGAATGATGGCCAGATAGAGAGATGGGCTCCCCCATGTCAGTTTTAGCTCTTTGCAGCTTCTACAAAGATACAGAACCGAAAGCACGTAAATCTGCAACTTAAGCAATTGAAAATGTTTTTGTTGTTACTATGAGGAAGGCCTGGGGTGGGGTGGGGGGCAGGGAGGTAAATCCAGCAGACTTAGAAATAATTGCTCTCTCTTTAGTTCCATATGATTTCAAACTCCATGCAATATTTAAGAAGCACTGGGGAGTTACGTCTGATAGAAAGTGAACACTCCGTGCTGCTAATTAACAGCCAGCGAACTAAAGCAGGCGGCTTCCTCCCAGGCGGCTATCAGTGGAATCTGTAGAGACATGACGAACTCCAAAGGCTTGCCTGACACGAAAGGCAGAATAGCTTGATCCTTGCAAACTTGAGGGCCTCTCTCATTCATATACCAACCCACACTTATTCCTATAGTCAATTGCATTTTTAAAATTGGCACCCGTTAGGCCAGGCATGGCCAAACTTGGCCCTCCAGATGTTTTGGGACTACAATTCCCATCATCCCTGCCCACTGGTCCTGTTAGCTAGGGATGATGGGAGTTGTAGTCCCAAAACAGCTGGAGGGCCAAGTTTGGCCATGCCTGCATTAGGCTTTTCTGGCACCCTCAAAGGTCCTGGAGAGCATTTCAACTATCATATACAGTGGTACCTCAGGTTAAGTACTTAATTCGTTCTGGAGGTCCGTTCTTAACCTGAAACTGTTCTTAACCTGAAGCACCACTTTAGCTAATGGGTCCTCCTGCTGCTGCCGCACCGCCGGAGCATGATTTCTGTTGTCATCCTGAAGCAAAGTTCTTAACCTGAAGCACTATTTCTGGGTTAGCGGAGTCTGTAACCTGAAGCGTATGTAACCCAAGGTACCACTGTAATAGCTTGGTCATTTGGAAATGTTAATGAGGTGGATCTAGAGTTCATCATGATTCTCTTGATGCCTGTTGATTGCAGTGGGTGTATTCTAACCGTGACAAAATCTGGATCCAACCCAGGGTGGTTTTATGAATCCCTACCTGCTTGGGTGTCACATTCCAGCAAACTCTGGTCACATAGCAGAGAGAAATCAGCAGAACTTGAGTTAATCTCATTCACATGTAATTGAGAGCAAGTCTCATGGAATTTGTTGGGACCCAGGCTCTGTGGTTTATTCCATTCTTGCATTGGGACTTAGTTGCAACAGCTAGCTTTTGCTAGACTGCCCTGAGCCTTCAAGAGAAAGCCAAGCAAGTAATCTAAATAGATGAATATTTCAGAAATAAATTAAATGACATCCATATGTTAAATGAGCCATGGATAATTTGCTTCTAGGTTCTTTACAGTGCAAGCCTATGAGTGCCTACTCAGAAGTAAGTCTTGTTTTAAGGTGAAAACTTTGTCGAAGAGTGGAGTTCCTTTTGGGACTATTTGAGAACTGTAATCAAATGAAATCATGAGCAGGATTTGAATAATAGGCAAGGGAAGGAGCGTAAATAAATGATTGTAATATAAGTTATACTACAACGGAAAATAAACAGCAGATATGGCAGCAGATAAAGGAATAGAACAGGAACATCATGGATGTAAGGATGGGAAGTCAAAATGTAATGAATTATTATACTGAAAGTGAATTGAATAATGTCACATCTTGTGTAAAACACGCATATACAGACATATATATGAAGTAAGTATGAAACTAAATAGGACTTACTTTCAGGTAAGTAGGCATAGGGTTGCAGCAAATAGAATGGAAGAAAAACAGTGGACACTTTATACTAAAGTGATCAGTAGGCACCCACCAATTAATTATCTAAATGTTTGCCTAGGTGATCCCCGCCCCAAGCAGAGCATATATAATTTCAAGGTGAAAATAAGCTTTTTAAAAAATATCTGATTTGGCTAGTGCCTTCTGCTATGGATTCCCCACAGCCCAGTAGGATTTAACTTAACGCCTTGTTTGATCAGCATTTATACCACACACACACACACACACACACACACCAAAAGCAGCCCTCTCAAACTCAAGGCTATATATTTTTTTCTTCAGTAACCAATTACACTTCTTAATCAGTAGTTCTTAGGTTTATCTGACACCAGTTCTTTTTTCCCCTGGGGGTATGCAGGGGTACGCATACCCCTAAACATTTTGTGAATCTTTGTACTTTTGTCCCTTTACTGTATTTGTTTTTCCCAATATGAGCTATAAAATGGTGATTTTCTTGAGTCAAAATGAGAGTACCCCTAAACATTTTTTAAGAAAAAAAGGACTTTCTTACACGATAGACTACCAGGCTTGAAGGACTGTTTTAGGCCTCTCATCTGTTTGTTACTGTCACTGAGAGTTAGGGAGGTATTAAATTGTAGAAATTGCATAAAATGTATAAGCTTGTATGAGACTTCGTTTAAATAGAGCCCCCAAGCTTTCTTCCCAGCTTCTTCCCTAAGGGAATGCTTCTATGCATTCAGAGCGTTAAGTTAAATAAATCACATAAAAACAATAATAAATTATAAGACCAGGGGGAACAATAAAAGCTAACTAAAACTATGCACCTAACATGCTGCTATGGTGGACTGACCTTGGTTCCACCTCTGTGTGGAACCCCCTAGAACAGGTTTCAAAGGTAAGATGTTATGAATGTCTCAGTCTTGTGAAAGGCTTCTTCAGTTCACAAAATATGGAATCTATGCTACACCTTGGTAGATTGATTTTATCTCTTTATTTCTGAGACAGCGAGTGCCTTTTGTTATGGATTCTCTGCAGGTAGGATTTAGCCAAACTGCTTATTTCATCAACTACTAGGTCAAGTGTTGGAAATAAAACCAACAATTTTGTTTTGTTTGTTTCACTGACTGCGAATCTGTGGTCTTTGTGGGTTGTTTGCTGACTTGTTTGCTGAACTGGTATATTGTGATCTGGGTAGATTTTGAGTAATCTCAGCCTATGCCAAGTGAGTGCCCCGGCCTTGGCCAAGGTATGAATGGGGTTAAGTGTATGTGAAACCTCTGGATGAATTGGGTGGATGGAGGTTGGAAGCTGGCGCAGAAATAATTTGGGGTTTCCAAAGATCCGATGTTCTGAGAACCCGATATCTGGGCTATGAAGGCAACTATCACTTGCTGCTGCTGCTTGCCCCTCCCCTCAAACATATTGATTACCATTCAAAGGAATACTGATTTTGGTTTCACTATCATGTGACATGTTTCTCCTCTCACCAGTGGACTCTAGGCCATCTTGCACATTTCAAAAAACAACCCCAGCTTTGCTACTGTGTACATTTGACAGAAAAATCCAGCCAATTCCAGATCTCTGATAAGTGTACTGTACATTGGTACCTCAGGTTACATACGCTTCAGGTTACATACGCTTCGGGTTACAGACTCCGCTAACCCAGAAATAGTACCTCAGGTTAAGAACTTTGCTTCAGGACAAGAACAGAAATGGTGCTCCGGCAGCGCGGCAGCAGCAGGAGACCCCATTAGCTAAAGTGCTTCAGGTTAAGAACAGTTTCAGGTTAAGAACAGACCTCTGGAACAAATTAAGTACTTAACCCGAGGTACCACTGTATAATGGTTCCATTTGCATTTACACATATTTATTTAAGGCTATTGCTGCACTTGGTATGTGTGTGATACTTGCTGCTGGGCACCCATCCTTTGAAAACCTACACTGCTCCTGTTTAAATTTGGTGTTTGATCACAGGAGGTTGCCTTGAAATTTTCAGGTGCATGTTGCAGTTCAGAAGGATTCTTACATACCTTTGCTTGCAGTCTTCTGGCTGCTTATACCAGCAGCAGCTAATGTGGTGCTCTTCAAACATTTTGGACGGCAATGCCTGTCATCCTTGGCCATTGGCCATGCTGGCTGGGGATGATGGGAGCTGTAGTCTTCCATCTAGAGGCCACTAGGTTGATTAAAAAGGTAAAGGTACCCCTGCCCGTACGGGCCAGTCTTGACAGACTCTAGGGTTGTGCGCTCATCTCACTCTAGAGGCCGGGAGCCAGCGCTGTCCACAGACACTTCCGGGTCACGTGGCCAGCGTGACAAGCTGCATCTGGCGAGCCAGTGCAACACACGGAACGCCGTTTACCTTCCCGCTGGTAAGCAGTCCCTATTTATCTACTTGTACCCGGGGGCGCTTTCAAACTGCTAGGTTGGCAGGCGCTGGGATCAAACGACGGGAGCGCACCCCGCTGCGGGGATTCGAACCGCCAACCATGCAATTGGCAAGTCCTAGGCGCTGAGGTTTTACCCACAGCGCCACCCGCGTCCCTAGCTTGATTACTCCCTAGCTTATAAAAACTTCAGTAGGACAAACGTGAAGCATGTGGTTTAAGGCCGGCAACCTTAAGCCGAAATGAGAGATTACTTTGGTAGCTCGGTGCCTCGAGTCTGTCTACTGGGAATTCTTCTTAGAAGGCATAATCTGTTTAAATATAGCAAATGCTTATCTTTACTTTCCCTCCTCGTCTGAGCTTTGAGCATATAATTATTTATTTTCTCTCTCTTTGCCCTTCAGCAACTTCTGAGGGCGCCGTGCCTGCTCATCTAGGTTGGGAATGAGGTGGTGATGGATAGAAACTATGGCCTCAATGGAGGTAAGAAGCCCAGGTCAAGGAGCTTATGCTGTCAGATCCTGAAGGTGAGTGACCAGGTCAAAAAGAGAAAGTCATGAACATTCAATGGCTCTGCGGAAGAGAAAATGTTAGCCAGGTATAGCTTGTCATGCAAGACTTGCTGACATTCCCAGTTCTACGCAACTGCTTAAGGGGCAAGAGTCTCCTGCTGACATTTTTTTCCCACCAGCCCACCCTATCCTGAAGAGATCACCTGTGGATTTGTTGTAGGAGGATCTCTCCCTACATTCCTGTGGACTACTTAAGAAAAATCCCACCTGATTCTCCACCTAAGAATCGGGTGGGAGAAGGTTCATTGAATGTTTGGTAGGAGACGCGGGTGGTGCTGTGGGTTAAAGGTCGGCGGTTCGAATCCCAGCGACGGGGTGAACTCCCATTGCTCGGTCCCTGCTCCTGCCAACCTAGCAGTTCGAAAGCACGTCAAAGTGCAAGTAGATAAATAGGTACCACTCCGGCAGGAAGGTAAACAGCATTTCCGTGCACTGCTCTGGTTCGCCAGAAGCGGCTTAGTCATGCTGGCCACATGACCCGGAAGCTGTACGCCAGCTCCCTCGGCCAGTAAAGCGAGATGAGCGCCGCAACCCCAGAGTCGGTCATGACTGGACCTAATGGTCAGGGGTCCCTTTACCTTTACTTTATATACAGGACAGTTAGTCTGTGTTTGACAGGTTGTACTGATATGTATTACACCCAAACAAATTTCCCTTTCTTTCTTTCTTTCTTTCTTTCTTTCTTTCTTTCTTTCTTTCTTTTGCTAGGCAGGTGTGTACTTTAGCCCTCCAGCAGTGAGAGACCCAGCTGTGCATCTCTTCTCCTCGATACTTCAGTTTTTGACTTGTGGGTAGCTAGCTTACAAACAGAGAGAAGAATGCTATACATTGGTTGTGGCATTTCAGGGTCTTTGCAGAGTATTTTAATAAAAGATGGCATTTAAACACAATTGAAGTCTCCTTCCCCTTCCTTCTCTCAGTACACATCGCAGTGCAACCTTCATGCTCCCTTCCCACATATCTCAATGATTTGCTTCTTAGGAAAGCCAGATATTTTCAACATTATTTTTCTGGAGCATCGTTGCTACCTTTTCTGACTCTCCTTTAGGTTGAAAGTTATGGAATCATTGCTGAGCCTTGAATACCATGTAAAAAACTGTATTTTTAAAACCCATTGGTTGAAGCTGTAGGCTTAAAAAAATTAGCCATTTTATTAAAAGCAGAGTTTCAATTTCAGAAAAGCAAGTGTCATGTTTAAAAAAAGGGTTTTCCAGCTAATATAACATAGATAAGACATACTATTTGGAAGTCCAACAGCTTGCATAATAGCAGTGCAATCCTATACACATCTGCTCAGAAATAAGTCCCACTGAGTTCAGAAAGACATACTCCCAGCCCAAAGAAATGTGCTGGAATGTGTGTGCATCAGTTATATACATCTCCATATCTTAAATATTATGATATATCATTAAAAGGTAAACGTAAAGGACCCCTGACAGTTAGGTCCAGACGCAGACAACTCTGAGGTTGCGGCGCTCATCTCGCTTTACAGCCCGAGGGAGCTGTCCTTTGTCCACAGACAGTTTTTCCGGGTCATGTGTCCAGCATGACTAAGCCACTTCTGGCGAACCAGAGCAGGGCACAGAAATGCCGTTTACCTTCAAACCAGAGCGGTATCTATTTATCTACTTGCACTTTGACGTGTTTTTGAACTGCTAGGTTGGCAGGAGCTGGAACTGAGCAACGGGAGCTTACCCCTTTGTGGGGATTCGAACCGCCGACCTTCTGATCGGCAAGTCCTAGGCTCAGTGGTTTAACCCACAGCACCACCCGCATCCCTTTATCATTACACACACCCAAATCCTCCAGCCACCATCCATGCAAGCACGGTAGATGAAACATGGCACATTTAAATTTTTTCTAAAAGTAGTAGTGGGGAAAAATAACAACTCACAAAACTCTCCTCCTGCAACATTTCGGAATAGTGTAGCTGTCTAAGCGATGCTGGGTGGGACTGATTAGATTTGTAGCCCAAAGCATCTGAAGGGCACAAGGTTGGGGGAAGCTGCCCTAGAGAGATAGGATTCAACATTCTCTGTTGAGCAAGGAATATGCCATGGACTAGTTACATTCATGGACTAATTGCATTCTAGGGGTTACTAAGATTCCAAACATTGTACCAAACAAAAAGCACTGCGCTCAATATCTCCATACAGCCAAAAGGTCCTGAGAGATATTGTCCTGCCTATTGTCCTATACAGTAGTCTTACCCTAGTGAATCATTAGTTTGAGTGGAGAGGTGCTGGCATATATTTATTTTGAGAATTCAAGACTGTAGGATTTGTTTATTTGCACAAGTATTAGCACATTACTATTAATTAAAGATTGTTTTGAATCCAGGCTTAAATAGCTTGCTAATTGCCTGCTTGGATGGCAATTAATGGAGGCTGAAGCAAAACATAATATTTTCAATAGGGAAGTTTTGAATGTTGAATGTTTTATTAAGTTTTTGTATATGCTGGAAGCCACTCAGAGGGGCTGGGGCAACCAAGTCAGATGGACAGGTACAAATAATAAAATTGTTATTGTTGTTATTATTATTACAGTACAAGACTTGAAAAAACCATCACTTTCATTGTCTGATAGCACATTTGTTAAATAACCGAATGCAGCCTGTTGCTAACCAAGGTTGAGGCCTTAATATTTATCCTCCATTAAGAAGCCCAAGAAATGCACTTATGGGCAGGTCTGCCTTATTAATCAGATACCTCTCTATCCTACCATGAAGCAAATTCCTCCCCTTTTTGAGATGGGTACCGAGGCTTGAAAATTTCCCATCCAGAAAACTGAAAGTTGAATTTTTTTTTTGTAAAAAAAGAAGCATTTCTATTGAGCATAATAGATTCAGACATTGCAAATGAAAATAAGAGAATATTCCTTTATGCAGCATCTGCAGCAAGAATACTAATTGCAAAAAACTGGAAAAGTGAAACAGTACCAACAAAAAAAGAGTGGCAAAAGAGATTTTTTTATTACCTTGAATTGGCAAAAATGACGGATGCAAATTAAAACCTGGTCTTGCTTCGAATAATTTTTGCAAAACAAAACACGGTTTACAAATACAACATATGGAGAAGGGTAGAAAAGACGAAATGAGAAAGAAACAGTTTATCAAGTTTAAAATCAGACCCGTGTTGAGGAGGAAGGAAGTCTATTAAAATAGAATAAGAACTAACGATTGGATAACATAAGTCCGTGTGCAGATACTTGCGGATTTATGGATATATATTTATAATTTATTTTGTGTTTTCTTTTGTAGTTTGTTTTCTAAGTGTCGTGTGTGTATGTGCTGTAATAATAAGTTAATAAAAGCATTTAACAAAAAAAAGAAAGAAAGAAAGAAAGAAAGAAAGAAAGAAAGAAAGAAAGAAAATTGCAATGGTTGAGAGGTTTTTTTCCTGTCTCTTGGTGGGTAACAAATGATTGCAAGATGTTCTACTTATGGCCATCTGCCAAAACTTTGCCATGTGGGGGGGGGGGTATTGAGAAGGAATACCAGCTCCTGGCCCAAGTTTGGATGGGATTGGCCTGGCATCACTCATCTCAGGTTACCAGCTGCATTCCAGTCATGTGGCACAGAGGTCCTTCTGTGTTGGTGAACTGCCACTGCATTCTCCAGAAGGCAAGCTGGGATGGTGTATTGGGCTTTAGATCAGAAGTCTTAAAAGGTAAAAGACACTTGACAGTTAAGTCCAGTCGCAGACGACTGGGGGGTTGTCGCGCTCACCTCGCTTTACTGGCCGAGGGAGCCGGCATTTGTCCGCAGACAGTTTTTCTAGGTCATGTGGCCAGCATGACTAAGCCACTTCTGGTGCAATGGAACACCGAAACCAGAGCAGCGCACGGAAACGCCGTTTACCTTCCTGCCGGAGCGGTACCTATTTATCTACTTGCACTGGCATGTTTTCGAACTGCTAGGTTGGCAGGAGCTGGGACCGAGCAACGGGAGCTCACCCCGTCATGGGGATTTGAACCGCCGACCTTCTGATCGACAAGCCCTAGGCTCAGTGGTTTAGACCACAGCACCACCTGTGGTGTATTGGGCTTTAGATCAGAAGTCTTAGGGGCTAACAAAACCTGACCCAATGCCATGGCAACCCTGCTTTCCAAAGTGCAAAAGTGCTGGCTTGTTTTCACCCACCCCCATGTCCTGGGTGTTAATTATCCGCCTCCCACTCGACGCAGGAGGCGGTGTCCATAATACCCATGCCACACAAAATAGTACAACAGAACACAGAGGATTTTTTTTCTTTTATGTGAATACCTTTCATTATAGTGCTTCCATTCTTCCCGTTTTACAGAACACACAGAGATGTGGAGAGGTATGCCGTCAGAGCCAAAACAAAACAAATACAGTCTATTTAAATTATTTTAATAAGTACGAAAAAGATAATATTTAGCAATATTCTGTGTGGGGGTTAATAAATATTCTTTTAACAGCAAGCAGAGTGACACATTCAAACATTGGTCAAGTTATTTCTTTTACATTTTTCATGAAAGCAATAACTTTTCCCCCAGCTAAACAAGGTCACAAATTACAGAATATTATAATCCCACTTTGTTTTTGTTTTGTTTTTTTGTTTTCTCCTTAACTATAGAACACTTAAAAGTGAACTGCCATCCAGAGATTTTTTTTAATGACACTGATGTTCAAAATTACATAGACTACATTTATCATGCAGATTTTTTTTATTGTGCAAGTGTTTAATTTGTGTGTGTTTTTGTGTGTGTGTGTTTCTTTAGAAAAGCAAACAATTCACCACTGATGCTCCTTTTTCACTCAACAAAAAAATCAAAAAGTCTCATCAGGGTCACGTTTTAGGAGTGTCCCTGGACCCAACACTGCCCCTGGATGCCCTGGTCATAGTGGCTATGAATGTGAGTACTTTTCCCTAGATTAGGGTAGTGCCTTAGTGGCAACATTTTCTGGAAAAGTCAGGCCTTGTCACTATCACACATGGGACAGTTATCCACTGGATCACAGCAATGCACTCTACATGGCTCTGCCTTTTAAGTGTGCTCAGCTCACGGGAGCTACTAGATCACTAACTAGGGTGCATTATATGGAGCCAGTAACTCCTAGATTGCACCATCTTCTCTGGTTTCCAATTTATCCCCCAGCCAAATTCAAAGTGCTGGCTTTGACCCCAAACAGCTTGGGTCCTATGTAACTCAGATGGCATTTGAAAACAAGCTGGCTATAAACGAGGCTTGCTCAACTTCCGATCTCACCAAGGCAAACAGTCCACCAGCTAGGCATGTTTTACAGAGTCCTACCGGTGGTTCAGTGAATCTGTTTTTTGCTGTCAGCAAGGGACACAGAAAAAGTGGACTTGTCACACACATCTGGCAGGCCAAAAATGCATGGCTAGTGGATTGCATTTGGCTTGGTGGGTCAAAAGTTGCCAACTTTTTAAGGTATGTTTGATCATTTGTTTGGCCTAGAGAAGCCGCTTTATCCATATCACAAACCTTGGTTTTGATGAAGCCAAATGAATTATTATTCAGTGCTGAACAGAAGTCCCATCAAACTTTCCCTTGTTTTCCTTAGCAGTTGGCTTCTCCGCCCCCAGAGCGTGTATCTTTTGATGAATAAATAAATTCCATGTTGCATTTTGTGCTGAAAGCTAAATACTGTAAACCCATGACTGCTAGATACAACTAACATGATAATCTGAGATAGAATTGCCAAAAACAAACAATTTCTTCTCTAATTCTGTGTTAATTTAAACGGTTATGATAAAGAACTCTATCAAGCTAGATCAGGCATAGGCAAACTTGGCCCTCCAGATGTTTTGAGACTACACTTCCCATCATCCCTGACCACTGGTCCTGTTAGCTAGGGATAATGGGAGTTGTAGTCCCAAAACATCTGGAGGGCCGAGTTTGCCTATGGCTGCGCTAGAGCTCCTCTAGGCCAAATATGTTTAAAAACTAATTACCGCATTTTTCGCTCTATAAGACGCATCAGACCACAAGACGCACCTAGTTTTTGAGGAGGAAAAAAATATTCTGAATCTCAGAAGCCAGAACAGCAAGAGGGATCGCTGCGCAGTGAAAGCAGCAATCCCTCTTGCTGTTCTGGCTTCTGGGCTAGCTGCACAGCCTGCATTCGCTCCATAAGACGCACACACATTTCCCCTCGCTTTTTAGGAGGGAAAAAGTGAGTCTTATAGAGCAAAAAATACGGTATTACAAAAACCTGAATTTAGTGCAATCCTGAGCACCTTGAACACAAGTTACATGAGTTGCAGGCCAACAGAATGGTGTGACATTATGCAACAATTAACATTTAAGGTGTATGATAAAAAAAACCCAAGTTACAGAGCTTATTATAAGTGCACCAAGAACTGCCCTGTGATCTTCAGATGAAGATCAGTACACAAATTTAATAAATAATAACAAGACATCTTGCATATTTTCAAAAACACATTTTGTAACACTTTTCAGAAGTACTAAATCAAGCTATGGCGCACATCAATCTCTACATATCCCTAAATGTTTATTTTTTAAAAAAAAGTCAGTTAGCTGAATTAAACTGAGGAAGGAGGAGAGACACGGATATAAGATGTTTCAAAGTAAATTAGTTTCTTTAACTTCAGAAATTCAAACTGCCAAACGAAAAGGCCTCATCCACATTTCCTTTTGTATAGTGTTTCTAGGCACAGGTCTGAGATTTCCAGGTTTGTGTTGGAGTGGGTTGCTGTTGGGGTTTCTTTTCGTCCTGGCACTTTCCCCAGGAAAACCTGTGTTTTACTGCTGAATCAAAGCAAATGGGAATCAGGTTTCCTGCGGATTTGCATTTGCTCCGATTCAGAGGTAAAACAGGAAATTCCCAGGGAAAGTGCTGGGATGGGGGGGGGGGAGGCGGGGAGACAATGCTCAGACCTGAAAAGCCCAGATCTGCGCATAGAGAGCACAGGGCAAAGTGAAGTGTGCATGAGCTCAAAATCTATGTTGACTGAATTCAAACTGGCATGCCCATTGACTCCCCAACTCCCATCTTAAAGGCTACCATACTATGTTTTGCAGCACAGAAGTAGTGAAATAAATCATAAATGATTAGCCACATGGAGAAAGTTAATACACTTTCCTGTATCTGAGAAAGAGAATGACAAGTGTGCAAAAGAACCAGGAATGAAACCTATATTGACAGCTTGAGTGGGAATGCAAGTGGAGCATATTCCAGACAGGCAAATGCGAACACCCAACTGAGTCTGGAAATATCAGTTTGCAGAGGCTTCAGATTGCGGTAGATGTTATGGCAAAAGTCTATAAACATCCCAACGCCAAAACCTCAGCACAAATAAGCTCTATGAGCACTTAGCAGCCCATATTATTGAGAGAAAAAATGCATCCCAGACTAAAGAAAGGTGTAATTCTGGGTTGGTTCACAAACACCTGTTCATCTAGAAGACATGAATGAGGTGAGGTCACAGGAAACACAGTGCTTTTCAAGTGCTCTTTAAAAGTTACAAGGAGCACTGATTTTCTGGCAAGAGTTCTAATTCCATAAGAAAGACGAACATATCTGGCCATTTCCATAACCTTGTAGGCCTTTAAACATTACAGTAGCACTGTATGAGGGATCTGTGGAAAAGCACTTCCCACAGTCTGAATGGACTGTTTAAATGACAGCTCAGATGCAGAATGATCATGTGTATATGTAAATCAGCCCTAAGTTTCCCTGAAACCAGCAAGACTTTCACACCAAGTCTGTACGTATTTATTCATAAGTATTCCATTTAGTTAAATGGACCCTTCTTTCTATAAAAAATATGATTTTAGCATAGATTCACCTACACGTGGGTAGCTAACCCCATCAGCAACCATTTGTAGCGCACTTGGGTTTGTCTACCCACACAGATGTGGGAAATCATTCGAAGAAGTAGTTTTCCTTGTGGATTTTACTCTAGCCAACAGCAACTTTAATTTTCATCTTTCCTAAATCCTGGCTAGCTCCAATAACTCAAAACTGCCTAGCCTCGGGTTCGTAAAAATCCGGTTGTAAAATCATCTTCTGCTGATCAGATATCTGGGTTTAGAGTCAACAACGTGTGGAAAAATAAGATATATGAACCAAAAGGATATTTTAAGAAACTGGAACATTATTAATTTCAAATTAATAGTGTTCCAATGGAAGACACATTGGCCAGATCCACAAGCCACTTACAGTGGCAAAACCCCATTTCTTTAAACAGGATTACTCTAAAGTAAATGTGGTCTGGTTTGCAGCTATTATAAGGCTTCTGAGAGAAAATGCTCTACATGTTTCAATAAGTAGATGCCCTTTTCTGAGGACTCCAATTAACAGTTTCTCTCAAGTACATTCTTCTTTTCTCAAGTAAACATACAACAATCAACGGCCAGCAACTACTCATTTTACTTTTCTGCAAAAGAAAACAAGACCTTGTTTATTCATTCATGACATTCCTCCCATTAAAGCATTTCACAATTTCCCACTCAAATTCAGATTAAACACTAACCCTGCTTCACTCTCTTATAAAAGCTATATCCATTAAATCTCTCAGTCCAGAATCATGTCAACTACCCATTTCCATCACAAAGAGCACAGTTTTCGACTGCCTTAGTATAGCAGTGTTGTGTTCTGCAGGGAGTGCTCTGTGTAGCCAGAGGGCCATTTCATACATAACACAGTAATAAACCTGGGTCTCTCACCCAGGGAACACTCAGCAGGGACAGTTGCCAGTCTCTGCTCTAACAAGCATACCTATATAGAACACATATTTTCAGATATTTATTTTCCACAATAACACCTTATATTTTGAGGTGTACATTTAGGTGTACTCATTTAACAATGTGAAGGCGGTGTGTGTCTGTGTCTGTGTGTATGTGTGTGTAGTGCAATTAGGCAATGTTAGATTCTGGACTTGACGGGGGGTCACTTCAAAATGTGGTTCACCAGCCCTGCTGCTCTTTGAGGCCCTACTAATCATTCTGCTGAGTTGGACACTGGATGTCGGCCCCAAAGTCCTGAATTGATGGCATCGCTGCAGAACTATGATTCAGAATAGTGGATTCTGCAATCATCACAGCAGCAGCTGTTCCAGACAAGATTTTAATTGCCATACAGATGTTGAAGACACAGAGACTACTTTGCATCAAGAACTGCTAACTCTAGCCTTTGACCAGCTATTAAAATTTAAATTAAGTTTCATTTGCTATTGATCAATATAGTTGAACCTAATGAAATCCATGCGAAGTACCAAAGGTACCACCACATCCAACAATTTCTCCCTGCTACCTTTTCAACACAGATGCAAAATTCAACAAGTAGAACTGCCACTATTCTATTGTTGCAAGGGGTTGCATTTTTTTTCAACTAGCAGAGGAGCACCACAAACCCACTAAGCAGTTTTTATTTAAGTGTTGGACAGGACAACATTTGCTCCCCCCCCCCGAAATGATAACTAAAATTCTCTCTGCACAAGGCAAAATTTCATGCAACCTGAGATAATTTAGGAGTCTGCTAATTCTGAAATTGCAGCAGGTACATTAGGATTTTTTATTTAATTTTAGTATATCTTGTCTTATGAGTCTGACTTCTTTTTCCCAGATTTGGACTTAATATTTGTTCTGGTAAAAATGAAATAGAAGTTTCGGGGGAGAAAGCTTAACTGCAAACAAGCTAAAGTTGTAGCAGCTGCGGCATTTTCACTTTCTCTTTCTGTTATCAGAAAAAGATTGCACCCAACAAAAAATATAATATGTACCATACATTGCATTAAGGAATTAAATTATGTGCCAAGCTAAAGAATAATAAGTCAAGACACAAAATAGGTTCACTTTCTATCTACTCTAAATAAACCCAAAGACCACATTGTACTTCTTTTTATGTGCTCAGAAAAGTACACAAATCAGTCTCTTCCTTGATGGTCAATCTACTGAACACTATCCTAGCTCCCTGTAACTCCTAGATCACCTACATTTTCAGATTCTCCCATTAAAGGTTCCCTATATTAACTCTCACGTTTTTCCTTCTCCCCTCCCCTCACTTACACTCTGATCCAACTCACAATTGTGTACCGATGCAGCAAAGATGGCCTGCACATACAAACAAGGCTTTATATCTAGACTGTCCTTTTGGATGCAATCCTAAAAGTGTGCAGTTTGCACAAGAAGAATTGACACCAAGCACCTGGACAAGGAATCCTCTGAAAACAGAAAATAAAACAGGAGATCAGAGTCATGGCTCAGTGTTAGAGCACCTCTAAGTTTCCAGGCTCAATCCCAGATGACTCTAGGTAAGGTGAAACCCTGGAGAGCTTCTGCCAAGTCTGTGTAGATAATAATGGTTTTGATTACTCAACATAAGGCAGCTCCTTATCTTTCTAAGTGGCTAATAAAATTTTCAACTGCCTGCTAACACTTACCATAGTCTTTGTGACTTAGTGCTACGCACTGCAATGCGCCCACTGAAGTCATTCTTAATTCCTTCATTGGAGCCTCAATGCTACTGATCCAATTGCCAATGCAGAATTATTTTGTATCCAATTGTAAATGTCAGCATCCAGCTGTGCTGATACGATTCCTCAGCAGTGCAGGTAGTTCAGCCTAGCAAACCAGATACAGGTTTGGAAACACGGGGCCTAGAAGTCATTGCAACAACTATCAATGCTACTGTGGCAAAGACAAACCACCATAAGCTCATTGTGTTTGCCTCATAATCAGAGTAATACAAGCACCCATATTGCATTAGTTCTTTGGATTACTAGGCACAAATGCAAGGAGATTAACTAATGATGGACAACAACACAGAGGGACTGGTCATTGCTACTACGACATATTGCCCATCTAAAGTCCCTAACCTTTGGATCTAGGAGCAGGCAGAGCCAAACTCAGCCCTCCAGATGTTTTGAGACTACAATTCCCATCATCCCTGACCACTGGTCCTGTTAGCTAGGGATGATGGGAGTTGTAGTCCCAAAACATCTGGAGGGCTGAGTTTGCCTATGCCTGATCTAGGAGGCTTACTTTTTCTGTCTAGGGTTGAAACTTTAGGCTCAATACTGGGGGAAGATAAAAGGCTGCCAAGGAAAATAAACAGTATATCTATTTAACAGTGCATTTATTGAAAACTTGAATTTCACACTCAATTAAACAGAGGCCACTTAAAATTGATACCGCTAATCATTTTAAAATAATAACCAGAAAATAATGACGGTGGGTAGAAAATAATTAAAATCATTTTCATATGAAAAACTAGGAGGCAGGCTAGATCCTATGTATTGCTACACATGCAAACAAGCGAGCCTAGCAGCAGTCAGAAAAAGCCATTATGATCCCTGTGCCAGAACAACGTTTTTTGGGGGGAGGGGGCCCTGACCCAGAATAGTCATGGTCAGTTGAAACTGATCCGTGTGGCACTGCCAGATATAGAAGAGAGTTTTATCACAGAAAGCTAGTAAGGCTGGAAGCAGATGATAGGAGATTCACCACTCCTCACACCTGAAGGTGAACTAATATTACTTTCATTGCATACTAAGTGTGCATATTCGCCTGCTATCATATGTGTTCACAGGTTTCTTTCGGTGTTTCGGAAATATGCAAAAACTTGTTTGATCGAGACGATAGCGATCAAAATGAAACGAAGTGTACCACAGGCAACAATGGTTCTATCATGCAATCTCCAACTCTCTCTCTCTCTCTCAAAAAAAACACACACACACAACCCCCCCCCCAAAAAAAGCATTATAATCTTTCTCTTGCTTTTGAGAATGGCTGCAAAGGTATGAAAAGGGAGGGGAGAACTAATTAGCTAGGAGCTAGTGATATAACCACCAAAATTACTACTTAACATACATTTAGAAAGTGCTGGACACAGTGCCATCCATATGAGTGCAACTGTCCTCATCTATATCCTATTAGAATGCAGTCACAGTTCACAAGCATTAGCACCGGACAGACTGACATCATTTACTCTGTGTAGGACATAGCTGTAGCTCTGTAGTTGCAGCCAGCACTGGGCCACCACTACAGCTACCCATAACTTGAGAATCAGGGTATTATTGTTGAATTTGGAGGCATTAATTTTTCCGTGAGGTATGCTTTTGCTAAAAACAACGTAACAATTACCGCCTCATCTATTTAAGTAGGAAGGGGATGGGTATAAACATGGGTAGGCAAACTGAGGCCCAGGGGCCCAATCGCCTTCTAAATCCGGGCCGCATTTTTACATGAGCAGAATGTGTCCTTTTATTTAAAATGCATCTCTGGGTTATTTGTGGGACATAGGAATTCATTCATCTCCCCCCCCCCTCATAGTCTGGTCCCCCACAAGGACTGAGAGACAGTGGACCGGCCCCCTGCTGAAAAAGTTTGCTGACCCCTGGGTATAAGCAAAGCTATGGTTTGTGCCTTTGCAGTGAATCTACTAATATTCTATGGTGTTTATTATTGTTATTAGTGTAGATGTAAACTACTTCCACTGATGGGGACATACTACTGCACTGGCTGCCCGTGTGTTACCAGACCAGGTTCCAGGCTCGAATTTACAAGGTCCTTAACAACTTGAGTCCAGGATATCTTAAGGACCAGATGATCCTTTATATCCCTGCCCAATCACAAGGGATCTTGGGGAGAGTCTCTATTGGTAGTCCCTCATGGTTCAGACACACAGCTTGTAACTACTAGAAGCTGTGCATTCATTGTTGTGGGCCCAACTCCCTCCCAATTTACAATTAGAGAGGGCCCTCTCCTTGCTGAACTTTAGGTGCATGACAAAGACTTCCTTATTCTAGGAAGCTTTGAAATGTGATATTTGAATTTATGTTCTGTTTAATTATGGATGTTCATGGTTCATGGTTAGTTCGATTTTTTAATGCATGTTTTCTTGGAAATAAGTTCCATGATGTTCAAATGGGCTTACAGTTCCAGCTAAGTGTGCATAGGATTGTATACTAAGTGTTCAGACATATGACAGACTGTATTAAATAGTTCTGTTTAAGTCAACATTCCTAGCTTTGGCTTCCAACAGTTCTGACAACTGCAACAGGGTGAAGATAGGTCCCTTTGTGCAGACTGAATTTACAAAACCAACCGTTATCCATAAATAGGAATTGCATTTTGCACGTATATTAACACTGATCCAAAGGAAGAACAGGAGGAACCTCCTTGATTCTGTAGGTTTCTTTATGGGTCTACTGTTCCTTAAGAACGCGTGCCTTACTGAGTAACCAATGCTAAACTCATCCCTCTGCCAATTTCTAGAAGGCAAAGTTCTGATTTTATACTGTTTAAGAGAAAAACATCTCAGCTGTCCACCTAGATTACACGAAACATGTAGGATGTAAAATATAGTCATTGGCCTCCTTATTTCAAGGCCCAGTCCTATGCAGTACTGAGAGCTGTTCAGCTGCCATGGTAATTAATGAGATTGAAAGCACATAGCGTTTGGCAATAAAAGAGCTTGCACACCGCACACCAGCAACAAAGCTCCAATTATTACATTCCTAGGTGCTCTCACAACCCACTGACCACAAACTCTGGATCTCCTGTGCTCTTTGCAGTGGGAAGAAAGCAACAAATGAACTGGACTGTTATCATATTACTTGGGTACATCGTGTCTCTAACCACCTGGTCCACCCTTGGAATGAAATCTGAATTGGGTAGCCAAAAAGAGAGTTGTCACAGCCAACAAAATATGGTAGTTATTTTCTTCCCCCGACAAGCAGCAGTGGGCTTGTATATACCTGATATTAATACAGATTGAGAATTCTCCCAAGAATGTAATGTTTAAACAGGACAAGAACTGATGAGATGGGCCTTGCTTTAAAGTCATGCTGTCAGAGCCCTTTGCCAAAATCAAAGATAAAATTGAATAAAATTGTCTATATTACTAGTATTTACAAGTGCTTTACATATGTACATATTTATATATTTATTTGTACCTGGAAAATGTAGCATCAAAGGGTATATTTATATTTTACAGATAAAACATTTTTTAAAGATATGTATAACTGTACCATGAATAACTTTTTTTTATTGCTTGCCTTCAAACCTTGCACAACTTTATCACACATTTCTGTACTACACAGATCTACGTTATATATAAATAGGTATGAAAATAAGGATATTTTTTTTCTATTTTAATGTTTCAAATAAAGTGCTCATTTTCCCCAACTACTGTTACTGAAGAGGATGAATTGATTAGAGGGGATCAAATGTATACATTATGGGGAAGGTAATGTTCTATCCTTTCAACCTATTCTCATTGTGTTAAGTATCTTACCTGATTTTGGCTGCAACCCTACACATGGTCACCTTTGGAGTAAGTCCTGCTGAACTCAGTGGGGTTACTTCTGAGTTTACATGTAAAGGATGGAACTATTAATCTCAGAAGATCTATTTTACCTCAATGTTCTAACCAATAAAATGCATTTGTGACCTTGCCATCAATATTTCTCATGCAGAGTAAAGACCATAACCACGTTAAAGGAAAATGAAACAATACAGAAAATAAAACAGCAAATGGAAATATCGTTTGATTTTGTGCATGTGTTTTTCCACCTCTTAAGGTAATTTAAAATTGTTTTAGAAATATTTAAACAGTGTTGTTAAACTTTGCAATATCTAGTTATGCACTATACTCAAGTACTGTACAAAACTGCAATAAATGACACTATACGACTACATATGCTTCTACTATAAAGACACCATCAGAAAGGTGGATCTTTTTTTAAGGTCAACTAATAACTGCTAATATGTACGTGAATCAAAATACCTTTGACTGGCCAAATGTATTATTAAAATCTAAATACAGTACACAATTATTTATGGTAGTATGATTTACAGGGCCTTTTTTGGGGGGGGTATAAGGAATATTTGCAAAGGTTTCATGAGAAATAGTTAATGGATCAATATTAAATATTATACAAAATTTGCAAACAGAGGCTCCAGTTTTGTTTCCGTTTGCATTTAAGTATTGATGATGCACTGGATTTTCTTTTCTTAAAAAAAAAGACCTCCTCTTAGCAAAATTATTTCTAATATATAAAGTCATTGTAAATTTATGCCAGCAAAGTGTAAGCTTGCAATTTACAAAAGCAGCAATAATCTTTAATCATGAGGACCCCCTCATGAAAACGAAATCCCAAAGAACGGTTTCCAGTGGCTGCTATGGATACACGAAGTTAACCTTTTAAGGCAGATTTCATGGAAACTGTACTTCAGAAAAGTTGTACACAGAAGTTTTATATTACCAATATGCTTAAACCCTGAAGAGTATCTGAAAGCTTTTTTTCTGGACATTTGGCTTTTTCTTCTTCTCTTTAATTTATAAAAGTTTCAATTCACAAGACGGGATTAATACTTAAAATTGTCTCGTGAATGGCTACTATGTGCAATATGTTACTAGGTAACCTTGTAAACCTACAGCTAAGAATCTGGAATGGTGCTCTTTGTGAGATTTCAAAGAGCAAATTGAACCATTTGCAAAAACGTGTTCACATCTGTACTGGGTCCCTGGAATTTTTTGTGGGAGCACATCTGGATGAATGACTTGCCTTTGTGAATGCACGGTCACTGCCGATATAAAACACAGCTATAACATTTCTCACTATTGCCTCAAACAAACGGATTGAATCCAAAGACCCATAAGCAGAATTAAAACAGCCAGGGCTTATCCACACAACTTTTGCCCCTTCCCTTTCCAGGGACAGTTCCATGCTTTAAAGTTTCATGTCTGAGAGCTCTTTTCTCCCCACCCCAGAGCATAAATCCGCTCTTTAAAGCTGAGTGCAACAAACAGCAGTGGAGGAAAGGTAAATGTAGATAAGCTCTCACTTGTGTTAACCTGCAAATGTTTGCACAGTTATTTTCCTAGTGCCATCAACAGGTAGGTTTTATAGCAGCTTTTCTCATACGACGCTTCGGAGTATGGTGCCAAACAGCCCCTCCATGAGCAGAAGACAGCTTCTGCATGTAGGTGGGCAAGCTTTGAATCAATGGATTCCATTTGTACATTCAGCTGCAAGTAGTCAACTGCACAGCAACCAAGTGTAGTAACATGTGAACCAGCCCTAGGACTGCTCATCCGAAAGATCCAGAGTTTACCATTTATTTAGGAGAATAGCTCTCCTTCTGCATATCAACGAATTACAAAACAACAACTCTAATACCTGATCTCACCTTACTGTGCACTATTTACACCCCTGACCCTGAATGTTTATTTGGGAGTAAGTTCTGCTTCTCTGCGCAACTGCAGCAAAAAAGAAATACCCTACTTTGATTGTTCTGTACCACTTGCCAGACAAGCATCCCTTTCTTTCTATATCTACCTGAATATATCAGAGCCAAAACAGCCCATGCAATGCTATGTAAGGAAGTGCCTGTAAAGCTCACCATAGAAAACATCTGTGATTAGCCAAGAAAATAATGTATGAAGTCATTGTTATTAATGAACACTGCCCCTAAACATGCTTTTTTCATATGATTCTTTTTTTTCATATTGAAAAAGAGCCATATGACCCACCCCTCCTGGGCCCAAATCAGGGAGCTGTTAACAGCTAGAAGAACTATTAAGGACTGAATGAATATTGGCCAATGTTTTTCACTAGGAGCAAGCAAGTTTGTGTTGTTTACTTTGGTGTATCATCACTTTTTTATTCTTTAAAAAGTATGTTGTCAACTTCTACCACAGTGTGGCACGGAGAGGTTGGCTCAGCATCCATTCCCTTGCCCCCGATATCCCTCCCCCCACATTGCACAACTGCTTTTATAAAACACTTTAGCACTGGACAGAAAGAAAGAAAAAAACACTTTTGCTACAATGATTGATATGAATCCAGCTTTGGGGCTAGGCTGGAAACTTTTCTTTTCTTGTGAGACCTGCCCAAGCACCCAATCCTTTTGCTTCAGGGGCAGAGTGCTGACCCTACCACAGATCTAACTGTTAATCAGCAACTTCAGCGCTTGACTCAAAAGTAAAGAGGTGCTTAACCCTGACATTCCAATAGCCTTTACATATATCTTGCATTCATAATGGTTGCGAATAAGAGAATACTTGAGCTCACCACACACCTGTAATATTTACATGGGCACTGCTACCGTAAGAAATTAAGGTTACTTCTTATAAAAAAACCCTTCTCTTTTAAATGATAGTTTCTTTGCATTAAAGTAGAATCAGTCATTTTATAGAAAAATATCTTAAACTTTAAATTAAAAAAATAGTGTTACTAAATAGTTATGTAGGACCATATGCGGTTGTATGGATATAATTCAGCATTATTTGAATACCAGTTTAGGAGAACTCACACGGATAGGAGAGCGGGCTATATTTGCCATGGGTGCCATCTGTTTACAGATCCCATGAATAAACTCTGTGCACCTCCTTTGGAGATAAATGGACATGATACCTATATACATTCTGTACATCTCGGTTCACGGGTTAGCAGTTATTAGTCGTACTGTACATAGGAAAACAATCTGATTATAATGATGTTATACGCCCTCAGCATAAAGTTAAGGTTTGCTCCTAAAACCCATGTAAGACAGGTTCCCTGTTTAGATATGTTGCCCAGTACACTAGGTTGAAAGTACCAAATAAGACTGGAAAAACTATTCTCGACATCCTGTCGATTTTACTAACACTGTTGAAGGTTTTCTTTGCTTCCTGTGGCTTGGCTTCCGGCTTGGCTTTGTTGGGTTCTGTTGTGGTAGCGCTCTTGGAGATTGTGGGGAGAACAGAGTCCTTCGTGATATTTGGTGCATAATTGGCAACTGCCACTGCATAGGCGTTGTTTTTCTTAATAACCGATGCCTTTTCTTTTTTCTGAGGGGGAACAAAAATGGCATTTGATTACCCAATCATGGTACTTGCATTATGTCACAATGGTGGCTAGTAGTTTTACTTACCCTTGCTTGAGTCCTCCCCCTCCCCCTGGGTGTATGAAATACTGTAAGCTCCTTTTCAGGGGCATGTATACACTGCAACATTTCACAGGCACAAATAATAATAATAATAATAATAATAATAATAATAATAATAATAATAATTTATTATTTATATCCCGCCCATCTGGCTGGGTTTCGCCAACCACTCTGGGCGGCTTCCAACAGAATATTAAAATACAATAATCTATTAAACATTCAAAGCTTCCCTAAACAGGGCCGCCTTCAGGTGTCTTCTAAAAGTCTGGTAGTTTTTTTCCTCTGAAAATCTCGCCCAATGCATACGTGAAAGCAGGTTTTGCAGAAACTGGAATTATCATGACCAGGCTTTCTCTTTCCTCTGTGCAAATGTATAGCTGAGTGGGGATACATCCAAATTTCACCTGCCTTCTTAGACTACCTTAGCATACCTTCAGGTCTTGTTGATACATAGCAACTCTAATCTCAGGTATTTGCTCTAATAATGTGGAGCATGTGTAATTCCCACATCGGCTGCAATGTGTGCCTAGATTCAGCAAGCCTCTTGGTAATCTTTCCAATCTTTCTCTTCTCCCCAACACACAAATAATACACATCAACAGAATCAATTGAGAAATTCGGCGAGTTGCCACTGACAAATACAGGACAGAATAGAAAATGATGCCTTGTATAAGTGATGCAAAATCCTAATAGGCTTAGGAGGGAGACAGATGTTGCAAGGAATCTGACTGCACGGTCAATAAATATATGTTCTCATAATGTTCCAGTGTTCCTTTGGAAACTTCAGAATCTCCCCCCTCCCCAAAGATTTTTGTGAGCTAATGCTTATGCTCAAACATAAGGCTATATAGGGCTGGGGGGGAGGAACCATCCCCAATAAAAAATATCTATTGTCTCTAACAGTTGAGTTGCTGTTTTAAATGCTAATACATCTTCCAAAATATCCAATGAAGATTTCCAATTTCCATCTTTTGTGATCCATGGGTATTATGGGACATACCCAGAAGACCTTTGTGATGTTCCTAATCTTAGAACGTCTCTGATGTTCAGTACAATCAGATTCCTTTAGCCTGCAAATTTAATCTACACGTAAATTCTACTTTCACATGAGACATGTATGTCGCAAACTAGCAGGTTGAGCAACAAGTTGGCAAAACAACAACAACAACAACAACAACAAAACACACACACACCCTTTACCTGGTTGGTGTGGTGATTAGAACATCTTGGGCAAAGTCCTGCCTTCAGCTCTGAGAGTTGAAGAAAAGGATGACTATAGGCCCCTATCTTCTGCCTCACAGAATATTCACATTATATTGCCCTAGCTTCTTGGGAGAAGTATGGTAAACAACTATAATAAATATGTAATTTATTTGCGTCGCTCAGGGAAAAATAGCCCCCATGAGGAAGATCCCTATTTTCTGTGGTGAAGTGAAAAGTTCCAAATGGGGAGCTGGAACAGGGCTCTTAAGTAGGGCTTAATGCAGTTTTGCAGATTAAAATGGAGTAAAATAAGAGTAAAATTGCTGACTTTCTACCATTAACTGGTTTGAAACTAGCTCCAATGTGAACTAATTATTTTGATATTTTTATGCAGCTTTTCAGGGCAAAAAACCTCTCTTGGTGCAGTTTTCAGAAATAACATTTATTTTTATTTATTTTTATAAAAAAGAACCAAACACACCAGAGAAGTGTTTAAGCTAAAACAGCAAGTACCAGGTTTCTCACATAACAGCATAAATGTGGGACTGAAATATGAGGTGTTGAGTTTCATTAATCCTGATTAAGGTTCATCATAGGAAAGTAGCTTTGGCCTCATTCATTTTCGTGCAACAAACTGACGAAGATAATGAAATGCTGCCTAAGATTATTTTGGATATTTAACAGGCATAAATGGGCTATTGTTTAATTTGTAGACAGCCTTGGGACAATATTTGTTTCTCCAAGATGAAGCAGATGGAGGAGACTCCATATGTACAATTTAATTTCTGCTGAAGTGTGTGCTCAAACTGTCAGCTTCTTTTCCTTTCCTCTCCTGCGTCAATCTGCTCTACCTTTATATTGGTTTTAAGACTTCAATTATTTTTCAGTAATAGAAAGCTATCAGCTGTAGATGCTACTAAATTGATTTCTTAGAATTGGAAGGAACTTTAAGCACGTTTCTTTATCACTCACCTTATCGTTGACTACGCTTTTCCCATCCCACGCCCATCCTCTTTTTGTGAAGTAATTTACAGTGGCAAATTCTATCAAGGCAGAGAATACAAATGCATAACAAACAGCAATAAACCAGTCCATAGCTGTGGCATAGGCTACTTTGGGCAGTGAATTTCGAGCACTGATGCTTAAAGTTGTCATTGTTAGCACAGTTGTGACTCCTGGGGAGAAAACGGAGGAAAATAAAGTGTTGGTCAGGGTAATTCAGAATGGTTTAAGAGGGGAAAAAAAGAATATTTATCATCAGGAGCAAAAACTAGTGATTACAAATGATTAGTGTAAAGCTGCTGATTGCAGCTGATAACAACACTATGGGGGCTTGATCCAGAATTCAGTGGAGAGAGATAAAGCTCTACAGAAGTCACAGTTAAGATGCACATTGTGACTAAGAAAGTATGCAAGATTATATGCACAAAACTTGATACTACAGTGGTACCTTGGGTTAAGTACTTAATTCGTTCCGGAGGTCCATTCTTAACCTGAAACTGTTCTTAACCTGAAGCACCACTTTAGCTAATGGGGCCTGCTGCTGCTGCTGCTGCCGTGCTGCCGGAGCACAATTTCTGTTCTCATCCTGAAGCAAAGTTCTTAATCCAAGGTACTATTTCTGGGTTAGCAGAGTCTGTAACCTGAAGCGTATGTAACCCGAGGTACCACTGTATCTTTGTGTAGATACATCGGGTGGTAACCAACTAAACAGTTCCACTTATACAAGGACTTTTGGCTGTGCAGTGGAATCCCTTTCCTCTTTCTGCACCCTGAGGAAATCTGCCCCAGAGGGTTGGGGAATACTCCAGAAGAGATTTACAGGTTCCGCAGTGCATTGTGGGTATAAGAGAGGATAAGGAAATTCCACTGCACTGCTAAGCACCCTTGTTTAGTTGGATACCACCCACTGCTTTTTAGGGTAGCAATAATGTGACAAAATAGCACCAACAGACAATATGCAATTCACACTGTCTTCCCTTTGTATAACATGTGAAGTGGAAACTTCTGCTTCTCTCCTGCAGGAAAATGAATGAGCTTCACATATATCTGGCAAAATGAAAAGGCAGATGAGTAGGTTTCGCCTTGACATGTTTCACAAGAACTACAAACAAGATGGGGGTGGGGGCGGTGGGGGGGTGAGCACAAGTCAATTATTTACTATTTTTCAGGGGTTGTTTGAGATATCAGGAGTTACCCCTCTGACCATATCCAATACATTATTTGAAGTGCCAATACACAGTGTCTTGAATTCAGTGCTCTATGAATTCAGTTCCTTTCCATGCTGAAAAAGGTAAAACAGGGCAAAGCACCAAATTCAAACAATATCGAATTAAATAAAGGTACCCCTGCCTGTACGGGCCAGTCTTGACAGACTCTAGGGTTGTGCGCCCATCTCACTCAAGGGGCCGGGGGCCAGCGCTGTCCGGAGACACTTCCAGGTCACGTGGCCAGCGTGACAAGCTGCATCTGGCGAGCCAGCACAGCACACGGAACGCCGTTTACCTTCCCGCTAGTAAGCAGTCCCTATTTATCTACTTGCACCCGGGGTGCTTTCGAACTGCTAGGTTGGCAGGCGCTGGGACCGAGCAGCGGGAGCGCACCCCGCCGCGGGGATTTGAACCGCCGACCTTTCGATCGGCAAGCCCTAGGCGCTGAGGCTTTTACCCACAGCACCACCCGCGTCCCTTATCGAATTAAATGCATAGGTGCAAATAAGCAGTCGCACATTCCCAATATTTCCTTGGCAGCCATGGGTCTATTGTGGTGCTATTAGGAGCAGATTCTAAGGTTTAGATTGCATTCCCAAGTATACCTTTGAAACTGCAGCTTTACCAATCCCATGTTTGACACCATATGACAGGCATCCCCAAACTCGGCCCTCCAGCTGTTTTGGAACTACAGTTCCCATCATCCCTGACCACTAGTCCTGTTAGCTAGGGATGATGGGAGTTGTAGTCCCAAAACAGCTGGAGGGTGGAGTTTGGGGATGCCTGCCATATGACATCAGGTGATGGGCAGGTGGCCATGGCTTGCCCCAAAGGCCTTGCAGGCCAAATGGAGAGGCCTGCCATGCCTTATTAGGACCAGAGCTTCCCCACTAGTGTAATGAAAGCTCAAGAGAAGAACACGCAGATTTATTTGTTAGATTGCAGGTATCTGCTATTTGTAAATTGAGGTGGCATCCCCCCCCCATCATATTTATATAAACAATTCTAATTCTTTTTTGTTCTTGGGATCTTTCTGTTGTAAGCCAACCCCATACCTTTTGTCTAAAATTTGGAATTGCTTTATATGTATTTGGGGAGGAAGACTCAAGCTTCAGCAAATGAGTCTGCATCTGTTATGCGTAGTTTGTCCATAAACTGAAACTTGTGAGGTAGTTTTCTGGCAGGGTTTGAGAACATCATTAAATAAATTACTTGATGCCAAGAGTCTAGTCTCCTCCAAATGACAAAGATAGTAATCTGAAAACAGCAGAAGTCCAATATTTAATACTCTTTCCATTTTTAGCTGTGATTTTTTCATTCAAATATAGCATACTTTGATTAAGTTTAATTAGAATAAGAAACTCTCCACATTATCTGTCCTCCCCCAGGACAGAGAACTATGCAAAGATGATTTGCCTGTGGCTTACTGTCTGACCTGCCTTTGTACGAAAATTAGCAATGCTGAGGAAGCAGGCATAATTAGTACAAAAACAAAAAAACCTCTATTGTATCACAGAGATGGCAATCTTTTAGAAAAAAGCTCTTACCACAAAATATATGTATACCACTACAAACACACACACACACACACACTCACACACAGATTGATTCAGTGAATTTTATAACATGTCTCCATATCTATCTGAGTATTATTTCTAAGCAACTTGGGGATCCTGTTAACATTTCTAACAACTCTAGTTTTCAACTGAAGGGCAAAGAAAAAGAAGCAGCAGCAGTAGTCACTACAGTGGTGCCTCGCAAGACGAAATTAATCCGTTCCGCGAGTCTCTTCGTCTTGCGGTTTTTTCGTCTTGCGAAGCACGGCTATTAGCGGCTTAGCGGCTATTAACGGCTTAGCGGCTATTAACGGCTTAGCGGCTTTAAGAAAAAGGAAACAAACTCGCAAGAACTCGCAAGACGTTTCGTCTTGCGAAGCAAGCCCATAGGGAAATTCGTCTTGCGGAATGACTCAAAAAACGGAAAACTCTTTCGTCTAGCGAGTTTTTCGTCTTGCGAGGTACCACTGTATTTGGTCCTCATATTTTTTAATAGATTTCTCAATGCTAACAAAATTGTGCAATTGGGTTATAAATTCCTGTTCATGCACTTGACCTCTAAAATTGAAATATTTGTGATCTAAGTCAAAGCCTAGGGACACGGGTGGCACTGTGGGTTAAACCACAGAGCCTAGGACTTGCCGATCAGAAGGTTGGCAGTTCAAATCCTCGCAACGGGGTGAGCTCCCGTTGCTCGGTCCCTGCTCCTGCCAACCTAGCAGTTCGAAAGCATGCCAGTGCAAGTAGATAAATAGGTACCGCTCCGGCGGGAAGGTAAACAGCATTTCCATGCGCTGCTGTGGTTCGCCAGAAGCAGCTTAGTCATGCTGGCCACATGACCCGGAAGCTGTACGCCGGCTCCCTCGGCCAATAAAGCGAGATGAGCGCCGCAACCCGAGTCGGCCATGACTGGACCTAATGGTCAGGGGTCCCTTTACCTTTAAGTCAAAGCCTGCTCTTTGAAAGAAAATTTTGGTCAGGATTGACCAATGGCATGCAAACTATTCTATGCACAAAAGGTAAATTTGGACTTGTGCTTCCCAAATACCAATTTGGAAAGGAAACTATTGTTGAACCCAAAACAGATTATGATAAGCTCCCTCTGGCATGTCATGGGGTAAATTGTACCTGCTCTTTATACAAGTCAATATTCAGCACATGTAGCCCAGGACTTTAGATGCTATACCTGAAAAACTACTTTGTGTACTAACAAAGATATCCTTTGTATGCTTTTTAATATCCAGTGTATTTAATGTGTCTGTATTTTGCAAGTTTTCTTTTTTAAAAAATAGTTGGCATTTAATTAGCAGCGCAGAGTCATTGACTTGCATTGCTGAAAAAACACAAATGGCACAGATACCTTAAGAAATAAAAACAGATTGGAATCTTGAACCAAACAATTTTGTGCCAGCTTTATGCCTAGTCCCTGAAGGCACAATCAAATGCTTTTCAAATGCATTTTCTATGAAGAACATAGTCAAGATTTATCCAATTAGCAGCACTGCAACTTTTTACACAGGCTAATTTGAAGCAAGGCAAAGACAACAAATCATTTGGTCGTAATTCACCATGGACACTTTAGGTCAACCACATTAAACAGATGTCATAAATGAAAGGAACTGGAGAGCGTGATTATTAAAACTGCCTCATTATCCCAAGTCCTTAAATGCAACCTACTGCTTATAAGTACATTATGTGAGCAAAGCGAAATAGAGAGCAGGGGGACAGAGAGTAGATCTCAGACAAGAAATACTCAACATCTCAGTTTTTAAAAATAGTTTCTTTTTAGGCTGCTTCAGGGTGTGTTCCAATATAAAAAGCAAGCTCGCTCATGTGCATAATGCAGAAGAAGAAGAAGAAACTTTTCATGGAAAAGCACAGTTGTAATATTCCACATTTGGCTCATACCCCACTGTGGCGTTTGCCTCCTAGGTGGGTCATAAGGAAAGGGTTAAATGAGTGTGACGTGATTGGCCAGTGGAAACTGATAGGAGGAGTTAGAGTGAGAGTTGGAGTTGTGTGAAAGTCAGTTGAGAGTTGGGAGTTGGAGAAGGAAGAGGGAGGATAAGTCTGTGGGTTGGTTGAGTTGTGTTGTGAGAGAGTGAGAGGAACTGTTAGGTGGAGTCAGATAACTGTTTGAAGTTGTTAGGAACATTGGGTCAGTAAAGAAACTAAGATTAAGAAACTGCCAAGAAAAATTAACTGAAACCATAAGCTTTTTCATGCTTATAAAAATAAACTTGATTATTTGTTAATGTTAACAACTGTCTGGACTCCATGTGTACCTGTGAGAAACGGGTTGGTGGTAGCGAAGAAAGCAATTACAGTGGTGGCACAGGGTCAATAGACCGTCAAATGTCCGGGGACCCTGTGTGATCACCACACCCACTATTCTGCAAGCACATCTGCTCTTGGGTTTGAGAATGGTCCCCATGCAACTGCTCTTTTGATAATTGTGCTCGGATGTATTCCTAATCCAGTGCTAGCATAGGGAAGCTACCAGGGTTTTCCCCTGCCTGCCTCAGGCAAACACACAAATGAGGCACAACTTACGTTTCTCCACTGTAACTTTAACTCAAGTGGGGTTCAAGGAAGATATTGAGGTTACGTTTCAAGTCAGAACAGCTGAGGAATGTTTAGGCAAGCAAAAAGAATGCAGATCAGACATACAGTGGTACCTCAGGTTAAGTACTTAATTCGTTCCGGAGGTCCGTTCTTAACCTGAAACTGTTCTTAACCTGAAGCACCACTTTAGCTAATGGGGCCTCCTGCTGCTGCCGCGCCGCCGGAGCACAATTTCTGGGTTAGCGGAGTCTGTAACCTGAAGCGTATGTAACGTGAAGCGTATTTAACCCGAAGTACCACTGTACAGCCTCCACTTGCCTCTGCATGGGGTTTTCACTGCGCTGAAACTGTACTTGGGTTGGATTGCTGGTACTGAAAATCCCTATAAGCCCTGAAATCTCTCTCTCTCTCTCTCTCTCTCTCTCTCTCTCTCTCTCTCTCTCTTTCTCTCTCTCTCTGTGTGTATGTGTGTGATGTTTGCCAAAATGGGAGTGGTGTATGTTGAAAGAAAAAAAAATGTAATGAAGGGATATGACTGGAATGAAAGGCGCAAAAAACGAGTTCTTAAAACTGGGCTGAGTGGGAAAAAGTGATATGGGTTCAGTTTAGAAGAGGTTGCCATTGGCAGCAGCTTCCTCAACTTTTCCTCTTCATTAGTAGTGATGAAACTCCTTTCGGTGGCAGCTGGTTGGTAGCTGTCATTGCACCCTACTAATACCCCTGGAGGAAAAGCAAGTCATGATGTAGTATCGTTCTAATGGGATTTTGGCTGGAGGCAGGGGGGCACACGGGATGGTAGGTCATCACTTTGTACACATAATAATAGCAACCCAAACATCTACCAGAGCTTTCTCCTCTTTTACAACAGGAACATGATTGAGAAATGCCCCTTGCTGGTACCCAGACTCTGACATGGAGTCATCCCAATCTCAAAGTTGTATGACAAGTTCCATGTTGCATTAAAGCGCTGAGCTTCCTTTGGGCACAGGAGCACTCCTGATATGGGCTGTGATCTCTACTTGCATGGTATAAAAATGGCAGACCAGAATTCAAGAGGGAAAGTTGGGCTTGAAAACATTTACCATCAGAACTTTCCTAAAACCAGGCACATTTTTTCCTCCCGTATTCCAATGCCAGTAGAATATTGACTCTACATGCTTCGCTTTCATATGTTAATTCCCCTTCCAACTCCCTGGAGCTCTGTGGCCTGTACCTGAAAGTAGTATTAGTGACAAATAGCCACAGTTTGTCACACTGCATAATGAACTTCAGTCACAAAAGAGAATGCATTCTTAAAAGAAAAGAATGAAAAGATAGATGAACTAAATGTGCTGTAGCTGGCACCTGAAATGCTGAGCTGCCTTCAATGCTAGCTAACACAACATCCAGGTGTCCATCACAATACGCACCAAAGACCGTCCTTGCCGGGACAGATTCTCTGTTCAGCCAGAATGACACCTGGGACAGGATGACTGTCATGATGCAGGGGAGGTAGGTCTGAATCACAAAATAACCGATCTTCCTCTTCAAATGAAAATGAGCTGTCATTACTTTGTATTCACCTAGAAATGAATGGATCAAATTAGGAGGAGCGCTAGAAATAATTATGAATTGCCTCCACAATAAACCATTTTTCATGACAAGCTGAAGACATCTGCTTTAACAAGGCAAACATACTGCAGATATCCACACACGCCCCTCTCAAAAAAGCTGTATGTCGGTAAATCCAAACAAAGATTGTGCCCCACAAAAGCACACCTAAGAACTAATTTCAGCAAACTTATACTTTATGCCTGGCGTTTTATAGTATGATACAGTTACTAGTAATGTTATGGTTATGGTTAGTTACTTTGTTTTGATACTATTTTATATATTTGGACAAAACTTCATATTGAATATTGGTCATTGACCATAGTAGTAGTAGTAGTTATTTATAGCCTGCCCATCTGGCTGGGTTGATTGATAGTTTAATTTTGAGCAGCACACCCTCAAAGCATTAAAAGCTGCACCTAAAGCTCACTTTGGTCTAAAACGTGATTTGCGTGATGGGGAAGAGTACAGAACTAAATGCACAATTCTTTGGATCTCAACATTTTCCTTTACTCTGCAGTCTCTACAAAAGTGAATGCGATACTCCACTATTGTTGAATCATCCGGAACTATGACTCCAGATACTTCCTAGATGGGGCTTTATTGTGCAGCTCATGCACGGCAGTTTTTCTGCAGTGTCCACCTGACATTGTCATCATCAAAATGGCAGCCCATATTTTTTAAAATTATATTTAATCCAGATTTCTGCTTACAATGGAAACTCTGTTAAATAAAAATAACCCATGTTATTGCTCCTTAGCACACTGTTTTGGGCGTATGGTTTGTCATGTGTGTGTTAATTTTTTAGAACACATTCCAGCCATTCTGTTTCTGGTAGTCCAAGTGGTGCAAGCACACATTTTTGTACCACTTCCCACATGCAGATGGTACATCTGAATTTGAGCAATCCAGTTCCAAGGACCTATTAATATTTATTTTTTAAAAAAAACAAAACCCAATACAGTGGTACCTCGGGTTAAGTACTTAATTCGTTCCGGAGGTCCGTACTTAACCTGAAACTGTTCTTAACCTGAAGCACCACTTTAGCTAATGGGGCCTCCTGCTGCCGCCACACCGCCAGAGCACGATTTCTGTTCTCAACCTGAAGCAAAGTTCTTAACCTGAAGCACTATTTCTGGGTTAGCGGAGTCTGTAACCTGAAGCGTATGTAACCCGAGGTACCACTGTAGAAATAGATAACACCCTGCCAAAAAAACCACACCCTTGAAACATGGTAAGTAACCATGAAACATGATAAGTAAAGATTGGCAATGTTTGCTCTTGTGAATGTCTGGCAATTTATTTATTTTATGTGCACAGGCACACAAATATCTGTGTACATGCCACAAATAGGAAAAGGTAATGGAGGGTAGGGAGTAATGATTAGGGCAAGGAGCCACAAAGCACAGCACAGAAAAATTCAAACAATGATGATAGGTCACTGAGAAAGAAAAACTAAAAAATGGAGTATGTGGACGTTCACATTCCAATTAACACAGAGAGAATTATATCTAAATGAGCCATTTTGCAACCTAGAGCTCCCATATGGAAGCCCTCTATGATATAGTATATTATTGTAACATCACTTAGAGACTTTGTTAATTCAGTGGCATATAAATGCTGTACCTTAAATTAAGTTCTAGCATCTATAATTTCCTATGTCCACAAGTCAACCTGGCAAGGCCATAGAGTGTAGTCTGCATGTATGGCCAAAAGTGCACCAGTGGCTGAAGGAAAAAGGACTCAAACGGTTTCTTCTTTGCCTTACTAACCTGTACTTGATTTAGCTGTTTCTTCTCCAATTGTTTGCCCTATGAGATCATACTGATTCAACCTCGAACCGTCCGGAGCCACTTCTACTGAATTAGATGCATTGAAGGTCCACTTGTAGGTCACTTCTGAAGATGTATATGCATCTACAGGGGGGAAATAAGAAGACACGTTATCAGCTCAAAAGAGAGCAATTATTTGGGAATAGCTGCTCAGAGAATTCAGCACAGCCTCTGATATTCACTGACTCTCTTGATCTCTTAAGCAGTAGGAACTTGGAAGTGCTTTGTCTATATAAGACAGGGGGAAGAACCTATGCAGGCCTTGGGCCAGTTTCATGAAGGTAGGAGAGATAGGATGGGAAGGGCAAAACCTGAAATGGATTGAGTGATGGGGGAAGAAGAGGAGAAGCTGTCAACAAGCAAATCCATTGAGAGCCCTGGCCCTCTGCCATCAACTTAGCTAGGAGACAGGGAGGGAGACAGAGAGGGAGGGGGGAAAGGGGTGGCCGTAAAAGGGAGAAGGGGCTGGCCCCACCCACTTTGAGCTCTGGACCCACCTATTACTGGTACGTGGCTCTGACAGATTGCCACTAAGGGAATGTGACCCTCAACAAAACAAAACTCCCCAATCCCTGATGTAAGAGTACACATAAAGGATGCAAAGCAGTTCTCCATGTGCAGAGGACAGGAGGCGGAGATGGTTACAGATCAGTGCTGGCACCAGTGCAGCAACCACAACCTCCCACTCCATCCATTGGGCCTGCAGTGTTCCCCAGGGGCCTGCACTGCTTGTCTCAGCAGAGATGAGAAGCCAAACTGGGGAAAGAGAGAGGGCATAGGTTGGCTCCCTCCCCTTAACTGTCACCCAAGTGATGGCAGGCCCTATGTACATATGTCCAGCTGATACCTGCTCAGAAGCAGGTGAGAGAACAACATGGGAAGAAAGGAGCATATGGAGGACATAACTGCATCCAAAATTCCTTGCTTTGTGATTGTGAAAATACTGGATATCTGCTGTCAAAATAGATTAAGCACTGGATGTAACAAAATTGATTTAAAAAGACTGTTCAGCCTAAACATCTCCCATGAACATCTTAGGGCAGGTGTCAGGAACCTCTGGCCCTCCAGATGTTGCTGACTCTAGTCAGTCCCAGTAAGCATGGCAGATGGCCATGTATGATGGGGGTTGTAAGATCAACAACATCTGGGAGGGGCAAATTTTCCCCACATCTATTCATGATTTCACCCCCTAGAAGTCTGATATCTGATGGGCCTTCAGGAGATGCCATGGAGCAAAGATATTTAAAGAATGGGATACTTCATTTATGTTATCCTACAATGGAAAACATGGATTCAGTTGTATAAAATTGTTGGTTTTTCCTATAGGCAATTGTTAATTTAGATTTAAGGGAATTCATGTTATTGTATCTGCATTAAATCACATGGGTTTGCATTTGTGAAAGTAAGTTACCAGATTTGAATTACAGGAACTTTTGACAGCATAGACTCTACCAGAAACTAAAACTTGCAGTGTATGAAAGCATAATGTATTTCCATAACACAAGCAATCCTGTATATACCAAGAAATGAATAAGACTGCTATTATGTATTAATTTTTAAAAATACTTATATGCTACGTGTTTCGTTAAAAAAGCAAAGTGGTTTAACAACAACTATACATTGCTATTACAATAGCTGATCCAGAATCCTTTGACATTGTGAGATGCCAGCTATAGACTCTCACTAACTGCAGCACAATGGCATATGTCTGAGCACTAATAATAAAGGGCTTCATGGACACATCATTAAACTAGTTGTGATCATCCAGAGAAGAAATTCTTGCTTCAATATGAATATCAAGGTGAAAATCAGCACACCTCAATGTTGCCCAGAGATACCAACATAGACAACTGCAAACTATAAACCTTTAGCATCAGAGTACTTGGATAACTATACTATCATAATTCTTGTGGATGCAAAATTCATCACAATTTTTTTGCGCCTCGATTTCTTTGTGTCCTTATGTTCCACTCATGAGAAGTCCAAATGAAGGAATTCAACCATAACCTTCTCCTTAACCCCTAATATGATCACATCATCAAGAAATAGCTACTGAAGACTCAAACCACTTCACAGAATACCACATAAGCAGTACAGAAAAATGCTGCATGCAGGTTGCAGAAGTTCTTATAGCCATAGCTTGTGCAATTCTCTTCTCCGCAGGTATAGCAAACCTCTTCTTTGCACCTGCAATATTAGAGCCATTTCCAGGCCAGATATTAGAAAACTGCTCCCAAAGAACTGGAAATTTGTCCTAAAACATGTATTTCCTCTGTGTAAATTTCATAAAAGTCATCAATAATTTGGTTTTGGCAATGATCATACTCTAGGACATCCAGCCTTCTACACCATGAGATTGGCATAATATGCTTAATTTAATTGCCCTGATAAGCTAACTGATTGCCAAATTCTGCACCTGTTGAAGTTTCCAAACCATCTTCAAAGGCAGCACTACCACATAATGCATAGGGGATAAATTTGAACCCTGAGGAACCCCACGCTGAAAGCTACACAGAGCCGAAGAACACTGCCCAAGCATGAAAAGGACCACCCAAGGAGGACTGGCATCACTGCAAAGCAATGACACCCACCCCCAACTTGGACAGTTGCTCTACGGCAGATTATATCAAATGTTGCTGAGAGGTAAAGGAAAATTAACAGGGACACATTTCCCTTCTTTCCTGACAGATGTCATAATACAGGGCAACTAAAACTGGACCTAAAGCCTGAATCAAGACCCAGTCTCGAATTAGAAGTTGGAGGCTCAGAGAAGCCAACCTCAAATGAGAGCTGAGCTTTCAAAACCCCTAAATTCATTTCCAGCTGCGATCAAAATGTGAATTCCCAGCGTCCCCATTCTATACCCTTTACAGTGGTACCTCGCAAGACAAATGCCTCGCAAGACGAAAAACGCGCAAGACAAAAGAGTTTTCCACTTTTTGAGTCGTTCCGCAAGACGAATTTCCCTATGGGCTTGCTTCGCAAGACGAAACGTCTTGCGAGTTCTTGCGAGTTTGTTTCCTTTTTCTTAAAGCCGCTAAGCCGCTAATAGCCGCTAAGCCGCTAATAGCCGTGCTTCACAAGACGAAAAAACCACAAGACGAAGAGACTCGCGGAACCACTGTACTTACTTGTCAAGCAGCGATGGCTGCACATGGGAGAGGAGAAGAGGGAGGTTTTCCACCCCATCGTGGAGGGAGAGAAAGAAGGAAAACACGAAGCAAAAAAACACCCCGAATGCTTCTCCTGTCTCTGTTGTTGGGTTGTCCTCTGCTGTGGTTCTCTTACTGCCCCCACTTATTGTTTATAGACTAGGCATTTATCTGAAGCCAATCGGATTAAAGTTGTTCTGCACTTTCTATTCAGTTTCATTCACGAATTGTTGTTTCTACAAGCGACTCTTCTCTTGTAAATCGAAACATTTTTGTTTCAGTTGAACGTTTACCAAACTATGTTTTCAGTTTGCTTGGAAATAGACAGTGGATGTTTCATGACCCACAAATGTGGCAAAAGACAAACAAACAAACCACCGGAGGTGTTCAGTGAAACAGCCCTTTATTTATTTATTGTTCATTTAAATTTACATAAACAATAACATAAAAAACAAAGACTATATATAGCACAAGAGTAATTTTGAAATACCTGACCCTTCCATTTTCAGAAATGAAAATACTTGGTCATCTTATCTCCAAATCCATGAGCTCTTTATTGTCTTAACTATACTTTTAAAGACAAAGGATCACAGTTAAGATCAATTTAAAGCAGCATTATAATTTATTAAATACTAAAGTAAATAATAGCATGCTGGCCCAATCAACATTTGGGGCTTTCAGGGAAAATAAAATGACATTATCCAGGACATGCTGATAAAATCAGCTTTGTTGTCCCTACCTTCCAAATGAGTGGCACAAATGTGATAATGAAAATGGTACCTGTTACGTATTAAGATGTTAGTCATGGTGTTGTTTTTTTAATTTGATTAAATAAACAAACCATATCTCTGTGTCTTATTTGTATCTGCTCATGTAAGAAGCTGAAGCTTTCACCTGCCCTTTTCCATTTGATGACCAGGTCCTTCACAGACATCATTATCTACTTGCCTCCTGTTTCTCAGGTTGACTGCTTAATATGAGCATTTAGTTGGCCACTCTATCTAGCACCAGGAGAAGGTGGGGCTAGTTTGGTTTCTGCATCTTGAGGTGTTTTCTTCTCCAACAAACTCCGCTTCCACAGATCAGGGTGTCGCGAATACTTTTCTATCTGGGACATTCCATTCTGTTTCTTCCACGTTTGGGTTTACTTCGTCTACACCTGTGCATGAAATAAAGGACTGGTCAGTAGGCTACACCCTCTTTATTTTCAGTGGATAAACAGTGTTCAAGGTATCTTTGGTTTCGGTTGCAAATATGGTAAGCACAGCAGGTTCTCTATTGTTAATGATGACTCAGGCATGCACTTCAGGGCTGCTTGCTTGAGGGAATGCAGGGGTATTTCCATGAGTATTTCCATGAGTATAACGGAACCCCTATATTTTGTGAGAGATGTATATGCTGCAACGTATATGTAGCAGTTGTGAGCATCTTTTGAGAAACACTACATTCATGGCGCACCTAGGCGTCATGAAGTTGCTGCAGTTTGAACCAGGTTCTTAAATTTTACATATAGCATTGGCAATAAAGCAAGGAGGAGGAGGACATTTAAGAGAGGTGTAAAAAAACCAAAAACCACTCACCTTGTAACTCTGTGAAACTTGAAAGCAGGAGAGGCTGACCAGGACTGAACTGTGGTGTGTGCTTGGACTGCTCTCATCAGAAACCATGTAGAATTAACTCTGGAAAGTTAAGAATAAATCTTCAAATGAGAACTGGAGGTTGAGAGAGAGATGGCCCACACATCTGGTTCACCGACATTAGGCAGCAGCAACGTTGGATCCATCTTGTCATTCCAAATCATGGGTTGCATCTCTCAGGCATCATGGCACAAGGTGCTTTCCACTGTTGCACTCCAGGATCAACAGGACCTCAAGTGATCCTGCCTTGAGTGATGCAGGCTTTCCCCACAGTTTCACCAGTGAGAGTTACTGGTGAGCGGGAGCCTGAACAACATGTTAGACCAACATATAGCTGCCACTGTTGCCCCATGCCCTTTTACTTCCTTCAGGAAATCAGTGTACTTGGTGCCTGTCATGAGCCCCAAGTCATTCAGTGACTAAGGCACTGAGTTGGAGCCTACAGAGTCACTGGCCAAGGAGCTGGTCTAGGTTCCTGACTATGAGTCTCATGCTGAAGCTCAGGGATCATGAAATCCAAGGCTGGCAAGTAGAAGCCTGCTGAAGAGATCCCGTAGTTCCAGGGCCTATAGAATCAGAGACAGGATTCTCAAGGGTGTGTTGAGTGCACCAGGCACAGGAAATGGATTAGGTGGGAGACTGTGGAGCTCAGGGAACATACCTCCCTTCAGATGTGCGTTGGCCTTTTAAAAGACTCTAGTTCTTCAAAAGGGAACGCGGCAAAGGAGAGGTAGATGCAGGCAGAGGATCAAAAAGTTCACCAATAGCTATTGTTAGAGCAAGCTGCTCACTAGGAGCTCCCCTTGCACTGACCTACTGTGTCCTATAGGCTCCTCCAGAATAGTTCCTGGTGCACAACAACCTTCTGCAATGTGTGCTGCTGTAGCTTTATTGCAGGATGTGTTAGTTGTTGTAAACGAATGGTTGCCTCTGTTGGATCTGTGCTGGGAGACATCTCAATCAAGAGTAGTGGGCTGAAGACTCATTGCTGGTCCTTGGATGTTTCTTCAATCGTTGTCTCCTGCTGCACAGGGATCATTTTTCTCCCATCCAACAGGAATGGCACTAGCTTCTTATAGAGCTTCTTACTCATTTTTCCCCCAGTCTCTGCGTGCATGGTGAGCTCCTTTTTTTTTTTTTTTTTTTGAAGACTTTCACTTTTCCCCATCATGGGACAGAGGTTATGGAATATCCCCTCTTGCACACTTTTTAGGATAGTCAATTGAAAACTACCTCATACCTGAACTGAGAATGAAAGGTCTCCAAGGGCTGGGATGCTCAGCTACAGGTCTCAGAAGCACATACCCTATACTTTGGATATATGTGTGCCTCTCCCAGCTCCACCCCCAGACTGAGGTGTGAAGCATTTGACAAAAAACCTTTTGTTCATCTGCCTTATTCTAATCAAATTCAGAAATTTTATTGTTGTATTTTAATGACGGCTGATGTATTTAATGATTGTAAACCACTTTGTGAGACAATTGTTCTAAAAATGGTATCTGATACTTTAAGATGAATAAATAAACACCATCTCATCTTATTGCTCAAGCTCAGCTTCAATAATTAGGTGTGAAATGCAATAACAATTACACTCCTATTCTATAAAGCATGTTCCAGGTATCTGTGAGTAGACCACAATGTAGCATGATTGAATTTTACCCTCAATATAACTTGTTCCATAATTTGATCATCTAAAACCCACCTATGCTGGGAAATGCTGTTTTCAAAAGCTAAAACCTTTGGTTTTCCATAATTGAACTTTAAACAATTGTGCTTACAGTAGATTAAAAACAGATAACAGGCATTTTAGCCCAAGTATAGAGCAGAAGGGGAAAACTGCATAAAGTAAGATACAAATTTTCCTATTACCTGCTGATTCAGGACCCTAAACTGTGTTTTATATAATTGACTTTTTATTTTGTTCTGTGTATATCACAATGTTTTTTGTTGCTATGGCCAACGGCTGACACAAATAAAGTTTCATTCATTCCTATTACCTAGTTTTGATAGGAGTCCATCTGGGTCATTTAAGACAGTTCTGGGATCATCTAGGAACAAATTAAACAAAGTAGCAGCAAGTATACATCCTTACTTAACTCCCTTGGTTGTGGGTTTATCTTTAGTAAACTGTCCCTTATTACCACATCTGATTTGTGAAAGACTATTGCAATACAAAGGCAAAAGAGGAAGAAGCGAGAAGTCTTTTATCAACAAGAATTTCTTCCACTTTCTGCCATAACTTGACCCTGGAGATATAACCAAAAGCTACCTTTAAATCCATGAAGGCAGCAAATAGTTTCCCTCACAAGGTTCTTGTATATTTTTCAAGAAGGTGACAAAGGATCAGACAGTGATCAAGGGCTGAACAATCTTCTCTAAATGCTGCTTGAGAATCAGTAAGTATATTCTCAGATTCTAAGAAAGAAATCATTCCATTGCTTAAGAACCTGGCATACAACTCCCCCTTGACTGATGGCAGGCTAATAAGTCCACAGTTTCCCAGATCACAAGCTTGACCCTTTTTTTAAAAAAAGGTACCACTATTGCTTTTTCCATCTAGAAAGGATCATGCCAGAACAATTCACTGTAGTAAAAAGGGCGTCCAACAATGGGGCCCACCAAGGTTGCCTTACTTATATAAGTTTCAGAGGTTTATTAATCAATCCAAATCCTTCCCACTCTTGATCTGAGGAATCACAGGTAAGACTTCTTTTACAGAAACTGGGTTCCCAGGATTGGTCAGCTGTCTAAGTAGATCCAGCAGCTATAACCGCTGCCTATGAGCGGATGAATTTAACCACTGAAGCCCTTGGGGAAAGATAAGCAGCCTCGGCAGTGGGCTGGCTGTTTCTGCCTGTGCTGAAAATGCAGGGAGATGACTTGAAGGCTTTGCAGGAGTGGATGAAGGCCATGGAGGAGGATGTGGCTCGGGAAAGAGATACAGTGGTACCTCGCAAGACGAATGCCTCGCAAGACGAAAAACTCACTAGACGAAAGAGTTTTCCGTTTTTTGAGGTGCTTCGCAAGACGAATTTCCCTATGGGCTTGCTTCGCAAGACGAAAACGTCTCGCGACTTTGTTTCCTTTGTCTAAAAACTGTTAAAACCAAGGGTGCTTAGCGTGAACAGCTGCAGCTGCAACTTGACTTCGAGGAGCAACTGTTAGCACGTGGTTTGGTAGCCTTTTCTCAGACTTTGCTCACTTTTGAAGCTTTTCCAAAATTTTTCTAGAACTTCTCTTGCATCCATTTGGTAAGTTAAACTTTTAAAACTTTTTTGGGGGGTTTTGGATTTTGGGTTGGGGTGTTTGGGATTCAAGGACTTGGTGTTGTGGGGGGGGGTTGCGATAATCTGGGAGCTTGTGGGCCTTTTGGGGAATTTTTATGATTTTCTGTGACCATTGGGCCAGGTTGGGTTTTTTTTGAAAATTTTTCTGAGTTTGAATTTCTGAGTGCTGGCTGGCTGGGGAAACAGTTGGGGAGGTTTCTGCAGGAATCTGGGGGCTTGTGGGGTTTTTTTTTTTGGAATTTTTATGATTTTCTGTGACCATTGGGCAAGGTTGTTGTTTTTTGAAAATTTTTCTGAGTTTGAATTTCTGAGTGCTGGCTGGCTGGGGGAACAGTTGGGGAGGTTTCTGCAGGAATCTGGGGGCTTGTGGGGGTTTTTTTGGAATTTTTATGATTTTCTGTGACCATTGGGCCAGGTTGTTTTTTTTTTTGAAAATTTTTCTGAGTTTGAATTTCTGAGTGCTGGCTGGCTGGGGGAACAGTTGGAGAGGTTTCTGCAGGAATCTGGGAGCTTGTGGGGGGGGGTTGGAATTTTTATGATTTTCTGTGACCATTGGGCAAGGTTGTTTTTTTTTGAAAATTTTTCTGAGTTTGAATTTCTGAGTGCTGGCTGGCTGGGGGAACAGTTGGGGAGGTTTCTGCAGA